TTTTGGGCTGTAGCTGCTTTAATGCTGGAGCTGCTGAGCCCATGGAGCAGGAGCTGGCAGAAGCCACAGCTGTGCCCTTCAGATGGAGTTACTTGGAGGCGGCAGGGAAGAAGAGGGCCTTGGCGGCCCCCAGGCCAGCCAGACCAGTAATAGGATTCCCATGGACCCACGCAGGAGCAAGGAGCCAGAACAACTGAAAAAAGGGAGCATTTCAGCGGCCGGTGAGTCATCACAAGGGACCGGTGCAGGGCCCATCCCATGTGAAGTGTTTAGAGCACAGGCGGTGGGTGAGATGGGCACACTGGGAGAACACTGGAACACAGCAAGGACAGCACAGGGCCACTAAGAGGAGACTGGTCGGGAATGCAGAATTGCATGGGGTGCAGTTTGATTAAAAAATCAGGCCCAGATCAGAGTTTCTACAGAACACAGATCAACTGGGTCTCTGAAGAGCCGGAAGTACTTTAAGGTCAACCATTAAACCCTGAGCTGCACAAAAAGCCTTCCCTAGGGAAACAGCAGCTAAGCAGCAATTTAACTCAACAAGTTCTGGTTCCCACAGGAAGTTCCCCTATGTTAGTAGTAAGCAAAGGACAAAAACTTAGTTCCAGCCAGGCACACCACCAGAACCCTAGGTCCTTCCCAGGGACCCAATGAATGTAGAAGGGGACCGGACCCCCCTCCCACAACCAGGCACACTAAGCCAGTGCCTCAGGTCCTGCCCAGTGACCCAAAGCATGGAGCCAGGGACCAGACCCTCCTCCCACAACCAGGCATACAGAGCCAGTTCCTTGGGTCCTGCCCAGTGACCAGAGGCATGGAGCTAGAGACTGGACCCTCCTCCCACAACCAGGCACATGGTGCCAGCACCTCGGGGCCCACCCAGGGACCAGAGGCATGGAGAAGGGGACCAGACACACCTCACAACCAGGCACACTGTCAGCACCAAGGAGCATGCCAAAACATCACCTCCATGTGGGTGGCCCACCACAGCCTCCACAATAACCATGGCTGCCGCAGACGCGGCTAGATGCCACAACCACCACGCAAATGGTCTGCCAGCCACTGATGTGCATTGACACAAGGAGAGTCACCAGCAGAGACAAAGAAAAGAAGAGGATGTCTCTCTCCACAAAGCCCATTTCAAAGTGACAGAAGAAGCACCTGCTCTACAATAATATTGGGGAACCTGAACACACTTCTCAGCATTGGAAAGATCATCTAGGAAACAAATTAACAGAGTAACCATTACTTTTTCAGAAGGAGAGAAGAAATCTAAGGTGATTAGGGGGGAGAGGGAGGGAATGGGGGAAGGGGAGGGAGGGACAAGGGGCATAAAGAATAATTATGATTTGTAACAATATATATGCTAGTAATATTTATTTGATCAACATACCTCAATGTGCAACCCCCAAAATATGTACAATCGATTTTGATTCAATAAAAAAAATAAATTAAAAAAAAAAACTCACCAACCCCCCCCCCAAAAAAAAAATAAATAAATGTCTATGCTTGTGTAATATTTATATGGTCTATAATACAAGAATACTTCAAAAAGTTCATGTAAAGATTAATATTATCTTTTAATTCTATTTTTCCACAAACTTTCTGAAGTATGCTTGTGCACCCGCTGAGAATAGCAGTATCTGCAAATGCAATGCAGATATTGGGGTTACGTACTCAATAGTTACAGGCTGACTGAATACCAGATCAAGAGTTTGGATCATTGCCCTCTGCTAAACAAAATTAGTTTTGCAAGACATTTACATATAGAATTAAGATGTTGTGTTTATTGAGAGTCTTACCCATGTTGCATTTAATCCTCCCAATAGCCATGATGGAGGTATTCTTACTTCATCCCACTTATCTTATCTTATCTTATCCTGGGTGCCTTGTCTGAAGTCACAGAGATAGAAAGTGAGGAAGCCAGGATTTGGCTGACTCTGAAGGGCTCCACTTTTTGTATTGGTATGGGAATCTTAAACCCGGGTCCTGCCCCACCCTGGCCATGCCTCACCACAGAAGGTGAAGATTCTCAGGACCTGGGCAAGCTGCTCCCAGGCAGTCCATGACAAACCTCAAGAGCACTTGGTGGGTACCCAGATCACAGGTATGCACTTCCCAGGCCTTTAGGGGGCTGAGTGGTAGCCCACGGCTGGCCATGTGACAGGAGGGCATTGAAGTGAGGCCTGGTTCCCACACTTGTGCACACCAGGCCCCTCCTGGGGCAGGACAGGAAAGGGGTGTGCAGTGGGTAGAGGACGCCCAACTGCTTTGCACCCTTGCAGGTGGGAGCTCCATCCCCTGTTTCTAGCACATCCACATGGACTCCTCAGCACTCACTCTGTCCTGTCTCAGGGCCTTTGCTCGCATGGAGACCCTGGCCCTGACCTCTAAGGTCCAGATCAAAGCTGTCTTCTCTGGAGCCATTCCGACTCACTTCTTCCTTCACCTGCGAGCACAATGAAACTGAGCTCTACTATTTTAAGTTCCTACACACCTCTTATTTTAATTTTTAATAAACTTAAAGACGGACTCTATCACTTTCAGTTTTTTAAAAATCTCTCATAGCAACTAATAGAACAACCAAAATATGTAGCTGTTCAGCATTTTTAATTAAGTAGATCAACAGAAAGCACTGATTTATAAACTGGTCATTGTAATCAGGATTTTAAGACACAAAAATAACTTACACTATCTAGAGCTAAAATTTCTTTACAAACATACTTTTTTATATATGTATATTACTTTTTATATTTATATGCATTTAATATATCTAAGTATACAATATGTGTACATTACTCTAAGTACAAAATATACTGACTGCAGCTTACAATATATGATCTAAAGAATAATTTACATATATAAAAAGTGGCTTCCAAATTTCCAATTCTATAATACAACACGAATTAATATTGAAAGTAGCATTTAGGCTGGCCAGTTAGCTCAGTCAGTAGTTTGGTGCTGATAACACCAAGATCAAGGGTTTGGATGTAATACCGTCCAGTCTCCAAAAGGAAAAAAAGAAAGTAGAACTTTAGATCACTGTTCTAAGAGTGTAGGATGAACCATATTAGGTCATACCAATTCTATAATATTGGGATATTAGTAAAAGCTATTTGTATTTAAGTATAATTAGCATAATATGCAATTTATATGAACTTTTATAAAATTGATTGCACACATGGATTTTTTAGGAATATCTTTTATATCTAAATTTTCACATGATCATTGCCATAGCCCTGTGAAGGATGTTAGGTAAATATGGTCATTCCTCTTGCACTGAAGAAATGGAGGTCCACAGGCATTTGGCCATGGTAGTACTTCAACACTTCTGGTTAACAGCAGAGCTGGAACTGGACTACATTTTCCTGGTGGTCTTTCCTCTAGGCCTACATACTACAGGCAGTCACTCCCATTCTCTGCAATATGTCATTACAGGAACACAGATATGCAACGAAAAAAATCTGCAGGACCTAACATATCAAACCTGGAAGGATATGATTATGAAATTAATATAATGAATATATTAGGAATCTGTAAATATAGAAACATTTAATATAAGGAATATATTAAAAAATACATAACTGAATGCACAGAAGAGAATTATAATGCTACTGAATCACACCTTATTGGTAAGTTTAGACATTAAGAAGAAAGTTATTTGGACATTATAGAGTGTACATGTGGAGGCCACAAAACATATGCTTCCTTTTATCAGTATTCTTCGCTCTCACATACTTTCTGAAACCCGAGAAGCATCAGTAGTTATATTCCTGTATTTATTATTAGAGGGTAAAATATTTAAGAACAGAAAGATTTAATAGGCAGCAGATTTTTTTAATTAAAAGTCATTTTAGCCACTCACTGATTTATTTATTGACATTAGAACCATATATTAAGTTGTCACTCTATGCCAGCCACTAGTGTTGAGTCCTGGTAGATACAGTTCCTTAAAAGCTCTCAGGGTCATAAGATGATGGGCTTAGAAATATGGAAATAGCAGAACATGCAAGAGAATTAGGTTTTTTTGTTTTTTTATGTTTTGTTTTTGTTTGTTTGGGTTTTTATTTACTAATTTTTTAAAACGCCTATGTAGTCCGAAAGTGCCAGTAGCATTGTTAGGCTATAATACGTTCATTTGATTAGTTTGATTTATGGAACGCAACTGGTCCTTGAGTTCATCCTAAAATAACCCTAGAAATCATTTTTTCTGCAACAAACCATGAGTTTCTATCCTCTTTGCTTTTTTTAGGTATATCATTCAAAGACTAAAACATAGAAGTCATACGTCCCCAGCTTGAGGAATTTTTGCCTATGGTGATTCCCACAAAAGTACCACCTAGATGAACGTACATAACGTGGAAAACAACCCAGAAGTCTTTCCTCTGTCCCTCCCCTCTGTACACACCCACAAGGGCAACTCCTGTCTGCTTTTTGTCACCGTAAGTTAGTTTTGTCTGTCGCTGAAGGTTGTTCTCACCTTAAAGAGGTGATTTTATTAATTTAATCTCTAAATAAAGAATTACAAACTATTGATGCTTTGGGGGGAAATGGCATATACATTTTCTCTCTATATATATTGTTTTAAATTTCTCTCTTTCCATATGTAATATCTATATCTAGATATAAAATCTATATATATCATATCCATACATATAATATCGATATCTATAAAAAGAGAGAGAAAGAGAGAAGCAGCCAGAGAATATTAATTAGTACTTCTTATGAAGGTCAGGTGTAAAATACACAAAAACAGAAGGAAAAAATATCTAACTAAGTGAAAAAAATAATGTCCCCTCCAAAAACCTATGAGAATGGCTAATACACTTGCTAAATTGAATGATCAATGAATGTCAAATATTTATTGCACACTAGTTCTCTGAGAGATCCTAACCACTTAGAGGAATATAGTACTGAAGTGTGAAATCATTTTGTGAATGAGATTTTGTACTCAAAAGCAAAGCTGAGATGCAGAAAAAGCCTGAGCCCACACATACCATTACAGGAGGGCAACACCTGGTTCCAGGAGGGCTTTCCGTCAGCTCCAATCACACAGGTGATGGACGAGGGGTCAACAATCTTGTAGCCAGAGTCACACTGGTAAGTAACAGTCGAGCCAAGTTTGAAGTCAGTTCCAATTCTAGTCCCATTCATTATATTTCCAGGGTCAAAACAAGCTTCCCGTGGTTTCTCTGTGAAAGAAATGAATGTAAACTCCATGAGAGAAGGGTCTTAATTTTTTGTTTCCTTGGTCATTTACTTGCTTTATTGAGGACCTTGAACAGTGCCCAGGGTATAAGAAATGCTCAGAAAATATTTTTTGATTGGCTAATAGCCAAATTAAGCTATTAATTAAAAAAAATAGAAAAATTCCTTTTTAACAAAATTTTATATACATATATATATTTTAAACATTTTACTACAGAATTGACATTGAATTAGCTTCACCTAGATAAAAAAA